CTTCAGAGTGCACTCTGAAGTCACAGGTGCTGGCGAAACATTAGGAAACAAAACTTCCAGAACACGGCCACACAGCCTGGAAGACCCACATCAGCCATTAAAAACTCAGTTAGTTCAGGGAGAGTTCCAGGTAAGTTCACGATAGCCACATATTCTGGTTTGTTTTTTTTTCATTTTTCATTTTTGTTTTTTCTCTCTTTGTCCTCATGATTGTTGAGTCATGAATTTATGAAGTGGATTTAATTTTTTAATGCTGGATTGTACTGTGAATGTTTTAATTGATTTTTCGTATCTTGGGGGCCACCAAGGCCTTTGGAAAGATAGATGGATGGACAGATCAAATTAGACCCTGGGGTTTGGGTGGTGGGCAAGCCTATATCATGGGAGAGGAAGATGATGGACGCAAGCACACAGCTTTGTAACTGGATGGATGTTCCAAAGTAAATGCTGTTTACCTCTGTAAAGTAAGTCTTTGTGGCTTCCTTAGAAATTCCTGCTCTGTCGTAATTCCTCAGCTTAATGGCACTTTCAGAAAACGTCTATTGAAAAGACAAGCAGTTGTTATTATTTTAATTTTAAAGTAGATATCATCTGCACCAACAGTACAGGACCCCTTTAACAGAAACCTGGTGTGAGGGTGTCGGCTGTGGAGGGCCTCCAGCCACTGTTGTCCAGGAGTCCAGCTGTGGTATTGCAAAACAGACCTGTCGGTGCATGTTGCCTTCCAGGATTCAGTCCAAGAATTGTCTCAGAATCAGAGGCCGTGCCCCTTGCAAGCGGTTTCTGCAATGGCATTGAAGAGCTAGATGTTTTCCCATCTGTGTAGGCCTTGCCTCCAAGACAGGGGTGCCACAGCGCCAGTCCTGGAGGTTAGATGGACAAATATCCCCTCTTCCTTCTTTGGCCCACCAGTTTTGCTCCTCCACCTTTGCTGCTTTTGTCCTACCCCGCTCCGCACTGGGTCTCACTGTCCACCATCTCAGCGGACCCCGTGATGGCTTCCTCACCGCCCTTTCTGTCTCTGCTTTCTCCAGCTGCCTCCTACACCGACAGCTCTGATGACGAGACCTCTCCCCGGGACAAGCAGCAGAAGAGCAGCAAAGGGGGCAGTGACTTCTGCGTGAAGAACATCAAGCAGGCTGAGTTTGGGCGCAGGGAAATCGAAATTGCGGAACAAGGTTGGGAGAGCAACCCGCCGGCCTTTGCTTCCTGGGTCAAGATTTATATATCGGTTTGGTGTGACTTGGCTTGATTCACAGGCTGCAGCTGCGGGCAGCAGCCTCTTGGTCTTTGTGGCCATGAGCTGCCCATCCCCACCCTGGTACAGTTCAGTGGCCAAAGATGTAGAATTCACCCTTCTGGTCTGTCCCAGTCGCCCAAAAGGGGGTAAACGAAGCATTTCTGACGAACTGGCGCAGGACAGGAGATGGGTTCCCAGAATCATGGATTGTCTTGTTCGCTACATTCTAAGCAAGTCTGATTGCATGAAACCCTCCAGAAAAATCGCTTCATGCTACCGTTTGCTCAGTTAGCATGGGAAAATGGCTTTTTAAATTCAGAAAGGCTGGGTTCACGCAACACAGTTCACATAGTTAAGCTAGTTCACTTCCTGGATTCACACAGATCACGTGTTCACCACATGGGCTCTGTCACAAACTAACCAACTTCAGCATGTTGTGCAAATGTAGCCACTAGGTTTTTCAATGACCGGGCTAAACATGGGTGCCAACCTTACCCTGGTAAGGTAAAGGCAGGCTGTCCCCAAATGATAACGCCAGAAAGGGGAGAACCAGTAGCCATAGTTGTCCTGCCACGTTCTGCCCTGTAACCCCCCGTCTTCCCCTCTGCTGGTGCAGAAGGCCTTCACTTGAGCACTTTCTCAACCAGTACGTGATTTTACAGCGGCTGAGTTCACAGATCACCCTAGATCAGTGTTGTCCAAACTTGGCCACTTTAAGAGGAGTGGACTTCAACCCCCAGAATTCCCCAGCAGGCATGGGAGTTGAAGTCCACTCATCTTAAAGTGGCCAAGTTTGGACAACACTGATCTAGGGTGATCTGTGAACTCAGCCGCTGTAAAATCACGTACTGGTTGAGAAAGTGCTCAAGTGAAGGCCTTCTGCACCAGCAGAGGGGAAGACGGGGGGTTACAGGGCAGAACGTGGCAGGACAACTATGGCTACCGGTTCTCCCCTTTCTTGCGTTATTATTTTGGGGCAGCCCGCCTTTTCCTTTCCAGGGGAAGGTTTGGACCCATAGTTTGTCCGG